CAATTTTGATTTTATAAGGTCTTTAGGAAACTAATTTACATTCTACATTCATTGCTCAAAATTTAAGTGGTGAAACATTGGTAATTTCGTTATGATAGAAATAGTTTGGAGTTTTAATAAGTTGATTTCGGTTTTAATTAATTTCTTAGTAAAACTTTGATCTGTGAATCCTTCAATAAACCAATGATTTCTTTACGACAATTAAGCCCTATGTATATACCTTACATCAGCCTATCTTTTTTCACATTCTAAATACTCGATACAGTTTGATGAAAATTTCAGTGATTAACCCCTCAAACCCATCTCGACTCAAGGATGCAGTAACCCTACACAAATACGCCCGACAGCTGTCTACTATTATTCGACAGGTTACCACGCACAGTATCGCACTAATCGACTTTACGGCAAATTACTATGTAGGAAGGCACGCAAACGTAGTTCGATTTTGTGAGCGTTTTCCACCAGTAACTTGACAAATTCGCGATCACCAAAGAAAATTTAGATTTCTCTTAAAGGCCCTCCCCCCCCATTTTTAAGAGAAATCTGAGAAGCCCCCTTTAAGACTCGACCACTCGGGACGAGGAACGATAAACGACTGGTTTGATTTATAATTTTAAGAATGGAATTGAGCGATGACCCACTAAATTTTGTGGTGCAACACTTGGATTTTTCGCTGAACAGTTAGCAACAGCGTGGGCTGTGCTGTCTTCGATTTCGTCAGGTTTACGGGTGGCAAATGTATGTTGAGGGAATAGAATTGGGAAATGATGACGAAAAGTCGGTCATTCATCAGTTTTCGCAATGGGAATTTTGTAACAGTGATGAATTTCCAGGGGAATATTTTGAAAATTATTTCTGGACATTACAGTGTATGTAAGGAGTATGGCAATCAAGCATATTTTCTTCTGGTGATGTACCAATCTGTCATGTGGACAACTGGATGTGAATAATGTTGCTGCGCACATTGCTGTACCTGGACTTGAAAGCGGTGAACTGCCCTCTTGTGGAGAAAATACGTGTGCTTATGTAGATATGGACATTTAGACTCTGACTCAACGGGCTGGACCCAACTTTGTTCTGATCATGGTCAATACTATCGATGAATTTATCATGTCGAAGGACGATAGACTTTTTTTTACAAAACTAAGCTACAAATCCATCACTTTTCTTAGTCACTTGTACGTTTGAATGTTTTCCAAATCTGGACTTATCAATGTCAACTCAATATTGCGAATTCCGATCAGTCGCTGATACGGACGGTACTAAAAAGTGTGGTTTTCTACATAATGTCGATGAAGAAAAATGTAAATATGAGAGATTTATTTTTTAAAAATGTTCAAAAAAGTCGTCAGGACCAATGTCCTTGGCGCGGTTTTTGATCTCCATATGAATGCTCTTCTGAGAGTGCCTCGTGTTCATTCTCTAGGGGACTCAGAAATTGTTCTGCAGTCTTTCAAGAGGCGGCGGGCGATAGAAATTTTTGGATTCTCAGACAATGAACTACCTTTCCAGGTCTAACAGTGTTTGAAATCGGTCGATACTCCCGGGCCACTAGGCCCAGTTCAGCTCGGAGAAATATTGGATCGGTCGCAGCACCTGAGGGGACGATTCACCGTTGCCGACCGACCCCACACATCTGCGTTTTTCATACCTCGTATTTACTTGCGTTTTGAACGTCCTACCGCACTCCACGTGTATTTGATTTACCGTTCGACTACATAACCCATTGTCCGCTCAATTGTTTCTTATCAATTATAGTTCGGCTCAACCTTAATTGTCAGTGCACAGCTCAATTAGTTATTATTAATTAATTGCATTATTTTTGTGAATTATTGAATCTGTGAAAACATTAATTATAGTGACAATATACTGTGAATTTTTGTGGAAACCACGTGCACGTGCAGTGATTTATTATGACCCGCTCGCCCTCTCCCGAAAATCCGTATTAATCTCGGTCATCTCTCAATTGTTCCACCAATTCTGAGCCAATCATAAAACAATTTGGTCCTTCAAGCCGGATTGGTGGAATATTTTTCGGTTTTTCGGTGTTTTCGCGCGGTTTTCCGAGAGTGTTGGATAAATCTGCACAGTGGTGTTCATTCGGCGGCTCCGCTCACGACTACTCGGCCGACGCAACGGTGCTCAAGCGGCGGATCCAGAACAGCTCAACTGTGGGGTTTTTGAATTTGAGCTAGCAGGGGGATTTCTCTGGAACTTCTCAACCGACTGCCACTCCTCTGGTGTTTGACTCAACTGGCCCAGCTCAACTTAGCGCAATTGGCTAAGTAGCATTTATATAATATATATAATTTTTTGCACGGTTTTTCCGAATATTTTCCTCACACCTCTGAGTTTCTTGTTTCTCTTGGCGGCGTTGGGCTGCTCACCGGGTTTTTTTTTCACTGGCTCGCTAATTACGAACTGCTTAATTCTCTTCCTTGGCTGCTCATCAATATTTGTCGCTGCAGTTTTGAACTGCAGTCATCTTTGCGTATGCTCTGCATTTTTTTCCCTTTTTCAATAATTTATTCTGACAGTTTACCTCCCACTTACAATGACGTTTGAGGCTACCATGGGGCTCAATACCTCCAGGGCTGCATTTCTGGACCGCCTCCACCAGGACCTGCCTGCCGATGGAGAGCATCGAGCCAGGTTCACTTGCACGGGTTCCTACCTCGCCCGTGAAGTCTCAGCATTCCAGTTCCAGTAAGAGCTCGTAGGCTCCAACTCAACCAAATCGACCGAACCGTCCCGCTCAAGCCAATCTCACCTCGAGCAAGTTCACCTACCCGTGCTCCATGTTTAAAGGTGACCATTACATCTCGTCTTGCTCATCTTTCAAGAATCTCGAGCTGCTGGGTCGTAGGGAGGTAGCCGAACGCCGATACCTCTGCTACAATTGTCTCGGACGTCATTCGGTTAAGGATTATCGCTTACGTCTGAAGTGCCAGATTGGCAGCAGCAATCACCACTCATTGCTGCACTCACAGATGTCAGATTAGTCACATCAATCTGGCCAACAGACTCAGCACTCCACGACCAGCTCAGCCCCAAGGACTGAGTGCCGGTGGTGATGAACACCCACTCCAACGACGCTGTTCCGTCCGCGTCAGGGACAGTGACGCCTTCCGATTGAAGCTCAGCTGCTCAGAATGCCGTCTCATGCTCAGCTCATTAAGTGCATCAGAATTGGAATCAGCTGAAGATGTCCATTCTGGAGTTCTCTTGGCTACCAGCGTTGCTCTGTTGGTCTGTCCAGAACGACCAGCACATCAGGTCCGAGTCCTCGTCGACCCAAGGTCGGAAATCTTCATTATTTCAGATCAGCTCGTTCGTCGGCTAGGTTTGACGAAGGCCAAGACCTCACTCCGAATCTCAGGAATCGGAGACACGGCAGCTGGGCCAGCATTAGGCAAAGTACAACTCAACTTACAGTCTACTTACTCTCACTTTCAACTTAGAGTCATTGCCTATGCTCTTGGACGGCTCACAACGTCATTACCCACATTCTCATCGGCTCAGCTCATATGGGATCACCTTCAAGGACTTCAACGCGCTGATCGCGATTTTGTCAAACCAGTACCAATTGACATTCTTCTTGGTGCTGATGTATATAGACAACTCATTCAGCCTGAAATCGTCACCAATGGAACATCATCACCAACGCCTCAACTCACTCGTTTTGGATGGATTATCTTCGGGCGAACACAAGGTTCAGACCCAAACGAAGCGACAACAGCTCACGTAGCGGTCTCAAACGAAGAGCTCAATGAACTGCTCACTAAATTTTGGACTCAGGAGGAAATTCCAGAAACCACACAAAGTCAGCTCACGGATGAGGAGGCCCAGTGCGAGGTGTACTTCAGGCGCATTCACTTTAGGGACAGCTCAGGCCCTTACGTTGTACGGCTTCCATTTATGGAATCACCAGAACTGCTCGGCGAGTCACGAGCTTCCGCTCTTGCTTGCTTTCATCATCTGCTCAGGAAATTCTCACGTGCTGAGGCTTATCACCAGCTCTACTCGGGCTTCCTCAAGGAATACGAGGACCTCGACCATATGCGTCGGGCTTCCGGACAGCTCACATCATCAGCTCATTCACGTCAGCTCACTGGGGGGTATACGGCCCCCGAGATGACCTTAGCACATGAAACCACGGCTTGAGGAGGGTTGAGGATCTCGAACGGTCTGCATTCTCCTCGAGCTCACGCACCTCCGGAGTATTACTTCCATCATCACGGAATTCTCAAGGCAAGCAGCAAGACGACGTAGCTCAGGGTCGTCTTCAATGGCTTCAACAAGACAAGCTCAGGACGATCACTCAACGAACTCATGCACGCAGATGCAAAACTTCAAAGGGACATCGCGGATGTACTCCTCTTCTCTCGCCGGCATAAGCTTATTTTCATGACGGGCATCACCAAAATGTTCCATCAAATTCGAGTTCATCCGGATGATTGGCCGCTTCAACAAATTCTCTGGACCAACTCAAATGGAGCTATCATCACATATCAACTCACTATAGTTACGTATGGCATAAGGTCAGCTCCATTTCTCTCCATGCGTGTCCGGCTCCAGCTCGTCGAGGATGAAGGATGCAAATATCCCCTCGCAGTGGAACCGCTCATCGAAGGACGATATGTTGATGATATATGCGGAGGGGCTGATTCGGATGAGGAACTCCTTCGAACAGCTCATCAGGTACTCAACTGTGCTCTGAGACCTGACAGCACCTCTCAAGAACAACGATCCATCAAGGACAAGGGATCACTCACCAAGATCTTGGGAGTCTCATGGAATCCAGGCACGGACAGATTCACGTTCTCTTTGCCGGAAACTGAATCAATCACAAAGAGGGTCATCTCATCGAAAATAGCTCGCCTCTTCGACCCACTCGGATTTCTAGTACTAGTGGTGATTAACGCCAAGACCTTGCTACAATCTCTTTGTATAGAAAAATTGGGATGGGACGAACCAGTTTCTTCGACAACTGCTAAACAATGGGAACGATTCAGGAACGAACTCACACAGTTGTCGAAGATCACTATGCCTCGGTGGATTGGACTGATCACGGACTTCGTCATGGAAATACACTGATTCTGCGAGGCATCCTAAGTGGCGATGTCAGCCGTGGTTTATCTCAAGGTATATCACCACGATGAACCTCGAATCACACTGGTCTGCTCCAAAATCAAGGTTGCACCGCTCAAGCGGCTGACAATCCCACGTTTCGCACTCACTACAGCGCTGCTTCTTGCCAAATTGGTCAAGTATGTTCAGGATCAACACAACCTCACGAATACTCCTACCTATCTCTGGACGGACTCATCGGTCATGCTCCTCTGGATTAGCTCACATTCATCAAGGGGGGACGAATTCGTGAAGAATCGGGTATCACTCATCCAGGAGCTCACTCAGTATGCTCATTGGCGATTGGTACCAGACAAGGCGAATCCTGCAGACTGCGCTTCTCAGGACCGTCTTGGCTCCATCACGACAGCTTATCATGGCCTACTCACGTATTAGAAAAGGACCTCAACGTAGACCTCGAGGGACAACCAGGAGATGTACTACATGTGCACGTGCAACCACTTGCTCTTTGGGATCTCATCGACAGATATTCATCTCTCAACCGTCTACTCAGGGTCACCGCAATCTGCCGAAGATTCATCGCTCGGCTTAGGAGAGTTCCGAACTTTTCTCTCCATCATCCACTCACTCTCGGTGATCTTGAAGAGGCCCGCATCATCTGGATCAAGCTCACTGAGGCCGCTCACCTCAAGGACCAACTCCGGACCATCTCACCTGGTGAGAGATTCACTAAATCTCACTCTCTCAACAAGCTCACATCCTTCATTCATCACCAAGGGGTCTTAAGAGTTGGAGGTCGGCTCCAGTTCGTTCATATCAATCCAGAGAGCAGAAATCTGGCAATCCTTCCGAAGGAATCTCAACTGGCCCAATTACTCATCGGACAAGCTCATCTTCAAACGCTCCACGGGGGCACTCAACTCACACTCAGCCAGCTCAAGAGGAGCTACTGGATACTCGGAGGCCGGGCACCAGTACGCTCCTTCATTCTCAGGTGCATAAAATGCGCTCGCCAACGTAGAGCGCGCGCTCAACAGCTCATGGGCCAGTTGCCACCAGCTAGACTCACCCCCGCTCGAGCCTTTCTCAACACTGGAGTCGACTATGCCGGCCCAGTGTCTCTCAGGTCATGGAAAGGGCGGGGTCACACATCGTACAAGGGCTGGGTGGCAATCTTCGTCTGCATGACCACCTCAGCGGTTCATCTCGAGGTCGTGTCAGACTACTCAGCGGAAGGATTCATCGCAGCCTATGGTCGGTTCACGAGTCGTCGTGGGATCTGTAAATCCTTGTTCAGCAATTATAGGACCAACTTCCTCGGCGCGGATAGCGAACTCAAACGGCTCTTCGCATTAAGATCATCAGAATAAAGACAGCTCGACCCAACTCCTTATCAACGATGGAAATCAATGGTCGTTCAACCCTCCAGGTGCACCTCATTTCGGAGGAAAATCGGAAGTGGCGGTAAAGTCGGGGAAGTTCCATCTCAACCGTACCATCGGCGAGGATCTGCTCACCTTCGAGGAACTCACCATCTTCCTGGCCCAGATCGAAGCTGTACTCAACTGGCGACCATTGCAACCGCTCATTGATGACCCTGAAGACTGCTCAGCCTTGACACCAGGTCTTTTCCAGATTCTGGATGAGTCGTGGGGTCAGGCTCCCACGACTCATCCAGAACCATAATTGGAACAGATCAACATCTCACGACCCCAGGTAGCAGCTCATTAAACAAAGACTTCAAGTATTCTGGAAGAGGTGGTCCACTGGATTTGTTCAACGGCTGCAATCAATATCCAATGGCACCACCCGACTCACCAAATCAAGATCGGCTCCCTGGTTCTACTCACTGACGAGAGATTTCCGCCAACCAAATGGCCGCTCGCCCGAGTGACTGCTCTTCACCCAGGCCAGGACGGACTCACCAGGGTTTTCTTCATCAGGACAGCTCAGACGACGCTGACGGGACCCATCGCCAAGCTGGCTCTCTTAACCATCTCACCATACGAAGAGTAGAATCAGGTCAGCTCACCGGCGACGGCTCACGGCCCTTCACGTCTGGATTTCAACAACCGCTGAAGTTAGGAGTGAGGATGCGGAGATCGAAGTCCGGATAGGATTTACGACATTTATGAACCTGGAGACCCTCATGCTTGGCCAGCAACCGATCATCGGACAGTTCAATGGTTAAATAGAGAAAACCTTTATCGGGAAACTGATCTTTTCTTTATATTATAGCTCACCCTCATAGACCATCTCATCAGCCAACCATGGTTGCTGATCGTGGGGAAGAATGTTTGAAATCGGTCGATATTCCCGGGCCACTAGGCCCAGTTCAGCTCGGAGTAATATTGGCTCGGTCCCAGCACCTGACGGGACGATTCACCGTTGCCGACCGACACATCTTCGTTTTTCACACCTCATACTCACTTGCGTTGTGAACGTCCTGCCGTACACCACGTGTATTTAATTTACCGTTCGGTTACATAACCTATTGTTCGCTCAATTGTTTCTTATCAATTATAGTTCGGCTCAACCTTAATTGTCAGTGCACAGCTCAATTAGTTATTATTAATTGCATTATTTTTGTGCATTATTGACTCTGTTAATACATTAATTATAGTGACAACATACTGTGAATTTTTGTGGAAACCACGTGCACGTGCAGTGGTTTATTGTGACCCGCTCGCCCTCTCCCGAAAATGTGTATGAAGCTCGGTCATCCCTCAGCTATTGCACCGATTCCGAGCCAATCATCAAACAGACAGAATTCTCCGTTTACTATGTTCCATCTTCGGATGTATTATTTCCACTAAATAAGGATTGACACAGTCATATTCATTTCCTATTAGAGACAATAATGATTTGTTGTAAGTGCTATTGATGATAGAGAGCTACGAAACCTTTACGTTAATTACATTATTTCCGTTATGGAAGACATCTGCTGGTGCTTAAACTTTTAACGGCAGAACCTTAAGAATTGTCGCACTTCGTACATTGTTGAATTAAGAATCAAGCTTCTGAGACTTGAGAAAATTTATTTGAACGTGGTGTAGATAAAAAGTGCCAAGTGTTCATATTGAGTATTTCAAAAACCGCGCAACGTACTTTGGTCTTGTCAATTTTCTTTAATATTAAAAAAAATCTCTCATATTTACACTTTTATTTATCGACATTGTGTAGAAAATCACACATTTTATGACCGTCCCTATCAGCGACAAATACAAATTTGCAATATTGAGTTTACATTGATATGGCCACATTTGCGAAACCTTCAAACGTACAAGTGACTAAGAAAAGGGCTGGATTTGTAGCTCAGTCTTCTAAAAAAAAGTCTATCGTCCTTCGGCATAATAAATTCACCCCCAAGAACTTGACACCCTTTCTGATTCCGCAATTTTTTTCCAATTTTTCCTTACCAATCAGCAATAAATGAAGTATTGTGTATAATACGACAACAACGTATCGAAAAACTTACTTGGCGCTTAAAAAAAAATTTTTTTGGGGGGATTTCAGTAATTATTTCAATTATTTTCTAATTTTTTCAAAATTTTCCGAATCAACTCTTTATAAAAAAAAACTTCATGATTTTTCGATAGTAGTGCATTGCTGTAGTTCCTTGACTTGTTTATCCTTTTTTTTCAACTTCCACTCTTTTTCGTATTGAATCAACAATCCATAAATAAGAATCATTCTTTTAGAGCAACACTTAGAAAGGGTTACTCAGGGTTTCATGCCGTTATTTGTTTTGTACAAGTTATAATGGAGAATAAAGATCACTGAAATGCATAACTCTATCTAACTACACAACGTAGCGCTGAAGTTGAGTTCCAATAAATTTTAGCGTTACATTTGGAATACGAGAAGCGATGTATAGACTTTTCTCTTGGACTATCGATACTCTTAGCTTTTACTACCCAGAATATGGCTGTAAGCATTGAGTCATTCCTTCAATTTGGATTTACTTTGTTCCGAAAATAAGAGGTGCACGTCTTTTGAGTTCCTCGACCATCGTACTTTTGTAACACTGGAATCTTCGACATGTATCCATTCGCTCTTTTTGTCTCTCAACAAACTAGTATAGTGACCATTCTTCTCGATATTGCAGTTTAACACGGCACTACCGACGCAATACTATGTATAACATACTTCAACTACGATTGTTGGAATGGGTTTCAGCTTCCAATTCCTAGTTTTCTGTCTGATATTTCTTTTGTTCGACAAGGTATGATTTATGCACGTAAGATTTGTACACATTTATGTTTATGCACAAATCGGAAAATCGAAAAATACGTGCACATGACAAGGTATGATTCATGCACATGAGAATTCTACACAATTAGTTTTGTGCACAAGTGTAAAAATTTTATAAGACGTGCACACCAGTTTTTTAAACGCTCGCAGTTGTACTCAATGTTTTTTTTGTTGTGCACATGAAATAAATTGGATAAAATTTTCGAAAGTTTGTCCACAAATATTCTGCACAAAATTATGTGAATCAAGGAAATTGTACACCATATTTTTTGCACATGAGAAATTAATTTTAGACGCATGCTCAGATCACTTATAAATGTCCACAAAAATAATAAATATGCTAATTTTTGTGCACATAAAGCAAGACAATATAGTTGTGCACAAAATATTGTGCACATAATATTGTGCACAGAATAGTGCGTACAAATCAGATGACTGATTTATTGCGACTATAACGCGTACTGTTTCACGTGGATGACGTCGTTATCAGGTCTTATATATAAAAAAAAAAAAAAAAAAAAAAA